ATATAGTAAATGTTAATACAATTTAAGGTGTTTTAAACAAGTGAATCTTGTTAAAAGTTACATGCGGTGGCCGTGCTGGAGCATTTCCTGAGCATCAACCGCATCAACCCGGTGAGTGAACAGCAATATGAAAGCGGCTTCACGTGACTAATGATGAGCAAATATTTCAACATGCGCTCATTCATGGCTGTATTATTTAACTCATGCAAAGTTACGTCTTTATTGGGAGAGGATCTTGATGGATTATCTACGTGACTCCGACTTCACGAGACTAACAATGAGCATAGACAACAGAGAGAGAATTAAATTCAGTGCTTTTATTTCCAACATGCGCTCATTATTCATGGCTGTATTATTTAACTCATGCAATGTTACGTCATTATTGGGAGAGGATCTTGACGGATTATCTACGTGACTCCGACTTCACGAGACTAAAGGCCAATTTATACTTCTGCGTCGGACCTACGCCATAGCCTTTACGCCGTCATACTTTCAATCTGCACAAGGAATTGTACCACGGCAGATCAACATTGTTTGTTGCGGACAACTACTGATGTATAATGCTATGTAGTATAATAAATGATAAGACACTTGTTCTTTGCTTTGTTTTATTTTATATAAGAAGGTGTAACATTAAAATATATTAAAGTGCACATAAACACACACAAAACTCAAGTACATATGGAGGGAGGGGTTCTTGCAGACCAATCACAGCGCTTGCGGTCTGTGTAGAATTGACGCGCTGTTAGATTTTTGGAGAGGTGCACGTCAGGCTACGGCGTATGGGTGTGCGTCTATGCGTAAGCTACGGCGTAGGTTCGACACAGAAGTATAAATTGGCCTTAACGATGAGCAGACAACAGAGAGAGAATTCAATTCAGCGCTTTTATTTCCAACATGCGCTCATTCATGACTGCATATTATTTAATTCAGGCAAAGTTACGTCTTTTTTGGGACAGGACTTGACGGATTATCTTACATGACTCTGTGAGTTGGTCTCTATTTCTTAGAGCCAAGCTGCATACAACTACATATCAGGCATTTATGTAATGCATCTAATTTGTGCATAAATGGCTGTTATGTTAAATAAAGTTTACTGACTATACAGCAAATCAAACCTGCACCATGTCGTTGTTGTTGTCTCCTCTCCCCTCAGACGCGCTGCAATGGCGATCCTGCGCGCAATTCTCAAAAAACCCAACAAGATGGCAGCGTCTATCGATGAATCCGATATTACAAAACCGATAACCGATTATGGTAAAATACTTAAATATCGGGAAAATTATCGGTAAATCGATATATCAGTCGATCTCTACTAATTAACTGCAATAAGTTTCCCCCCCTAAATATTATTTTATTTTAGTTAACGTTTATTTTATTTCAAGTAAAATTTACAAAATTTTAATGGTTAAAATCAGCTCCGAAGATGAAAACAATTACTTTTTAATTGAAAGAAAAAAATAAAATAAAATTAAATAATAATAAATTGTTTCTACTAGACATCAATGAGATTAAATGGAGAGCAAATGGAGAATTTTGCTTAAGTCTCCTGCTTCTCAGATATTTCTTCTGGAGAAAAAGTCCCCAGTAACCTCACATGTGTCTCCTCTGGATTTACAGAAGAGATCTACACAGTATCGAACAGTATCGAGTATCGAACTGTGCTCAGATTTGCCAAAACACCAGAGTCTCAGTCAAAAGTCAGAGACTCTCAGAGACATAAACTCAAACATTTCTCATCGGATCCTTTAACTGTATGACAACCAGTATGTGTCTTTTTCTATTCTTCCTTGTCGGAGAAACACCCAAGTTGACTTTTGAATGAAACAAGTTTTGACAGAGCGACCTCTGAGCAATGAAATTTTCCTCTAAGGGTCAAATGAATCCTACAGACAAACAGCTCAATCTGCCTCTTCTTTTGTGCTTTGTGTTGCTGTACTCCAGTCCACAATGGATGTTCATTTAAGATACCCTCCCCGCATAACACACACACAAACACAAACAAACAGAGCACAAACACACAGAGCATTCATTGGGAATCATGGATGTGGAGCACAATTAAACACTGCAACCAGCCATCAATTCAATTGCACAAATACACCTAGGGAGAGTCAAAAAGTAGAAAACGACAACAGAATCTGAATTAATCACAGTCAGGATCTATTGCTTGATTCACAAGTGTTCTCAAAAACACAAACAGACACCTGAATTTTTATATATATATTTGCAAAAAATAAGTGTGTCCACACCACAATTATTCCAGATTTCACATCACATGCTAACTGATACTGGCGTATGAGAACATTTCTAGCGTGTCTCTCTGGAAAAGGTTGTCAGATCATCTCTAGGGCAGAGGCAGCAGGGTTTCGGCCGGGACCAGAGGCGCACCGTCTGCCTCACTCCCGAACTGAAGAATGTAAACATGTGAAATTCTCGTTAAAGAGCATCGCTTGACGGCCGTGAACTCCAGAGCCCAATGAAGGCAACAGTGTTTACAGTGAAATGCTGTCATATAAACAAACTGTTACACCTGCTCTGAGAAAACACATTCACGACTAATGATGTGCCACAAATTATGGTTGGAAAATCCCACCAAAATAAATAGTTCGTCTTAGAACCTGCCATAAACAACTACGGCTTTTATCTGCCAAGAATGACAGAGAAAGGAATATGACCACTTTGAGAGGACAGTAAAGTTAATACAGTGGGGTGAGCCATCTTTCTGAAGAAAAAAAAGATGACATGAGAAAAGAGAAAAGAAAAAGAAGCAGAAGGCAATAAATCAACATTTTGCAGTAATGTAACAAGTAGGCTAATGCTTAAAAGGGTGAATCACATATCCAGGTCACATTTAACCCCTAAAATCAAAAGGAAAAAGTATTTACACGTGAAATTAAAAATGAATTCTTTGTTTTAGGACCATTATGGTTTTTAATTGTTTTCAAGACAATTAAGGACATTTTCCATTTTTGTCATTACCACAATGCATTTACGTATATATATTCACATTATTCTCAATAGCGATTTTAGTTACTGCATGTTTTTATTGTCATTACCGCAGTGTATCTAAATATTTTTTTTATAATTCTCATTATTCTCAATAGGGATTCTAATTACTGTAATTTCTTTTTAAAAAATTGTCAATTGTCTTTACCGCAATGCATCTCTAGACATTTGTTGTAATCAAGATTTTTTGTAATTGTCATTATTCTCATAGTGATTGTCATTACTGTAATTTAAAAAATACAAAAACAAACTGTAATTAAAAATACTTTGTCTTTTAAAAGGCAAATACTACCATGAAGTATTTTACAATTAAAATATAGTGCATTTTTCATTATATTAATAACAATTAGATTTTTTTTATTTGCATTATCGTAATGAAAATTGTTGATAAAGTGTATTAAATTGTAATTAAACAATGCAAAAAAAAATCTTCAAAATAAAATTATTTTTTTCTTTAGATTTTGACCAATGGCACAACAGACAAATCAGAGCATATCACATGTGATTCATCCTATTATTTTCATTTTATTTTCCTTTTCCTTGCCCAACACTCCCAGCTATCTATTCATTAATCCATCTCTCTCTTTAATTCTCCTATTCTCAATGTCTCTTAACCATTACAAACACACCATTTATCACATTCCTCCGTCCTTCCCAGTGTTTCTTCTCAAACCCCTCCTTCTCTCTCCTCTGGATTCCGTCCTTCGCTCCCTGTATCCGTACATCATACATGCGATCCCCTCCACCTTTCTGCCCTTCCCCAACATTCCTACACTGATTTCTGCCCGTCTGACCACTGCGATGGCTCATCGGTGGCCTTTTGTGTCTCTCTCCCAAAAAAATCCAGCATGACAGATTCAATCCTGTTAAATCACACACCCATAATGTTTGACACAAAACTTTACCAGTAGACACATGGTGGTAAAATACATACCAACACTATTGGCAGAAAAAATTTACGTTGTTCACTTCCACAATGAAAATTCTGTCATCATCTACTCACCCTCCACTTGAACCAAAACTGAGTTTCTTTCTTCTGTTGAACACAAAAGAAGATTTTTTGAAAAATGTTGGTAACCGAACAGTTGATGGGCAACATTGACTTCCATAGTATTTTTTTTTCCTACCATGGAAGTCAATGGTTCCCATCAACTGTTTGGATACCAATATCTTATTTTGTGTTCAACAGAAGAAAGAAACGCATACAGGTTTGGAGTAAATGGAGGGTGAGTAAATTTGAGAAAGAAGGTGATAAATTTTCATTCTGGAAGTGAACTACTCCTTTAACTGGAATATGTATTGATATTGAGCTTTAACTGTAGGAAAGTATGTTATTGAGAAATAAGTGTAGAACATCATCAGTAACTAGAGGGGTTTTTCTGTATCTTTTCAAGTGAAAATGTTATGATATTGTGTATGTAATGCATACCTAAACATACACAGTATATAATCAAATTTTAATTTCATCCCAGGCAAAAAGCAACAAAAAGTAGCAGCAAAGTACCAAAACAATACCAAGTTCCTGACATCATGTTTTTGAACGTACACCATGGTATCTTTTTAATCAGTGTTGGGGGTAACGCATTACAAGTAACGCGAGTTAAAACAAACAAGCAAGCCCTGTCCAGATTTTAAAAAGTAACGCAAAAGTAACGCAACGCATTACTTTCCATAAAAAGTAACGTAATTAGTTACGTTTTTATGGAGTGACGCAATATTGTAATGCATTACTTTTAAAAGTAACTTTCCCCAACACAGTTTTTAAGTAGTGTGACCCTCGCATGCTTTTATTAGTGTAACCTAATGTAGTCAAGTTGACGCAGACATATAAAATCAGCCTTTTAGATCACCTAAAAACTTGAATATGGAAACTGTACCATGGTATTACCATCTGATACATCACTGTAACGTTATTAGGGAAGAATCCAACAAACTATTCTTGAACTGTCACATCAACAGGTGATCAATAAACTCAATCAATCAATTCTTCTTACCTTCGAAGAATCTCTGTAAGGCCTCCGTTTCATCAATCACGGTTTCCATTCTAGCGGCTCCCGCTTATAAACTCCATGAACGTTAACGGACGGATCCTCCGGAGCGGCGGGAGTCGCGTGCGCTTCAAACTCTCATCATCCCGTCCTGACACACGATTATCTTTATACAAGTTACTAACACGCCACTGAGTTCCCCGGAACGAATTCGGTATCAATATCTCCTCTGGATTATTCATTAATATAATAATAAAAAAAAAACAAAACGGTTTCTTGCGTAAAACACAAATTCCTTTTCTGAGGAGATTTTACCTTTGAATGTCAGGTGGAGGCATATTCCAGTTTTCCCCGAGGATTTCGTTTATTTATACGCACGATACATAACTACAGATTTATTTCAAGCGAAAGTGTAATTTGAAGTTAGATAAGATGTTTAATTCTGTTAAAATTAGCCTGTGAGTGGGTTTTGCGCTCGAGCCACTTTCAGTCAAGCGCGCTCACCGTCCTTCTCCGCGCGCTCGAGCTCTACTTGCGCCGTGCGTGCGCGCTCACTTGCGAGGTAAGACGTCAAAAATGCCCCGCCCCCAACCCCAACAAAACTAGTTTTAACAAGGATTTTCATTCCGGTTTAGCCGTGGCTATTTATTACGTATAAAAGTGACTTTTCAGGCCAACTAAAGAGACCTAAACACCAGTGTTGGGTGTAATGTATTAATTATTAATTAGTAGCAGTAGTAGAAGTAATTAATTACTGAAATTTAGTTACTTTTACATTGAAAACGTAAGGGACTACTCTTAATTTTTTCTGTAATTTAATCAGTTACTTTCTGATGTAGTATAGATGTTAGAACAATTAAATATAAAGCAATAGTGGATTTAACATCCAAGTTTAAAGGGGTCATATGATGCGATTTCAAGTTTTCCTTGCTCTTTGGAGTGTTACAAGCTCTTGGTGCATAAAGAAGATCTGTAAAGTTGCAAAGACTAAAGTCTCAAATCCAAAGAGATATTCTTTATAAAAGTTACGAGTCAGCCACACCTACCTAAAACGGCTCGTTCTAACACGCCCCCACATATCTACGTCACGATGTGGGAAGATTTGCATAACACCGCCCAAATGTTCACGCAAAGAA